TTTAATATTTAAATTATTGAACGTTGTTATCTGCTTGAGAACATCAATTCGTTACACTAAACACTACTAGCAACCGATGTAAGCCGTTCTCGAAGGGCTTCTAAGTGGGCGCAATATATCAACGTTAAGCATTTACAGGTCAGATTCTCAATAGTCGTTCTAGTTTTCAACAACTGTATATACAATTCTATTTATTTATTTCGTATAAATAATTTTAATTTTATATGACAAAAAAGAAAACGAAATTCAAAAATCGAATATTTAAAAAAAAAACAATTTATAAAATATTGATTTTAGAGCAAACAATTTTTTTTGTAAAACTCTCAAGATTTTTTTTTTTATATAGATGAATATAATAAATATATGACATAGACTATTTCGACAACTTTTTTTTTAACGATATATGTGGATGCTGCGAATCTTGTATAGGTCTCTTCAGTATTTTAATTTTCTTGTTGTGATGTGCACACAAACACGCATTCCCATAGCACATATCCATTTCTGTATATACGTATAAATAAAATGTATATAAGTATGTTCGTGTACCAATGTGGATGACCTTGTGCCAAATGGCGTTTTATCCTTAGCCAGGGACGTTTAGTCGAGTTCTTATTTTTTACCTCCTCCCCTCTCCTTCTCTTTCTGCAAAAGTCGCGATTCATTTTTTTTTCACTGTTTATTCCCAAAAAATGTTAATTATTAATTTTTTAATTAATTAAAATTAATATAAAATACAAGAATGAGGTTATGTTCGTCTCATTTAATTTTTGGAGGTTATGTTCGCTCAAACCTTAGAGAAAAGAAGTTTTTCTTTTTGTTGGTTTTTCGTTTTAATGTATTTTAATGTAGATTTAGTAAATTTTGAGGTTATGTTAGATCAATGACGGTTTTTTTTTTCAACATTTAAGAAACAACTGTTACTTTCATATTATAAAAGTGAAATCGCAAACTTAATTTATTAATTAAAACGCATCCAGGAAATCAAAGTCGTTATATTCTAATTATTATAAGAAAAGAAAAATGAATGCCATGGGCAATTATATATCTGATTTCTAGCAAAAGGACTTTTTGCAAGTTTGATGAAAGCCTCTTAGAATGAAGGAGGCCAATATATTTTCAAGTTTGAGTAGGTGGTTGAAAAAAAAGTCCTCGAAACAGATCATCAAATGTCATGATGAAACGAGCCCGCGAACATATTACAAAACCGGCTCTCTTTGAACGAAAAAGAAAGGACTTTAATGACGGGTTTGCTCGATGCACTCGACGCGACGCGACGTTGCGAAAGCAGGAATATCCGCGAGCTCGAGTTGCCAACTATATATGTATATATATATATATATACACCTATACTTGCATTCTTCTGAGATCACATGATTCTAGATTGATCATACAAAAGCTCCATTGAGTTTTCGACTATCAAAGTTACTTTCTATTCCTTTAGATTTCTCGATTGCACATATGTATTATTGAAAGTCTTCCGGTCTCATAACTGCACCTGATTGAATTTTTAACTCTATATCCCGTGATATGATTATTTAATTTATATATATATATATATATTCGAAACTTACTTTGTTTTACTGAACAAAGTTATCTTTGAAAAATAAATGGGGATAAAATCACTATTTTTCACAAATTACGTAAGTTTCTTCCTTTAAAAGGTAATATTTGCGGGGTTTTTTTTTAAGTTGCTATTTACATTTCCAGGATTAATTTTAAGCAGAAAAAAATTTATATAAGCTTTAAACGCATGAAACTGACTGTCCCCATTTACCCCAAGATTTAGAAAATTTCCATAAAATTTGGGGTAAATGGGGACAGCATAGTTTTTAAGAAAGGTTTAAGAAAAAAGATTCCTTAAGTATATATTACTGTATTGAGGGATGAAAAAACTTGAAAAAATTTCTAATATGGCGGACGAACTTTAAAATTTTCTTATAAATTGATTAAATTTGCTTGGTTTATATCTTTTACTATATTTTTTTCAGTATTTTGTCTCGCATTTAAAAAAACAAACGTAAAAATCATATACAAAATTTTTTCTTATTCCTTATGATTTCCATAATAGAAATTCAATTGAATTTTTGATTTTTGTCAATTAGGTTAATAATAACAAGCTGTCTCCATTTACCCCAAGAATTTGAAAACTGGTGGTAAATTGGGACAGCTTGTTATTATTAACCAAATTGACAAAAATAAAAAATTCAAGTGAATTTCTGTTATGGAAATCATAAGGAATAAGAAAAAATTTTTGTATGATTTTTAAGTCTGTTTTTTTCAAATACGAGACAAAATACTGAAACAGTTTGACTGACTCTAATTCTTATTCATTCTTAATTTCAAATTTTTAATTTAAATTTACCTCGAAATTCAAGTTTGAATTTACCGCGAAATTTTAGTAATACCTAACCTAATCTAATCAAGTAATATCGAACCTAAAGGCCTGAGCAGAATAGAAACGTAACCGGAATCGTAACCGTTAACGCAACCGGAATAATGAGTTAGAGAAGGACAAACAATATGTCTATCCTTCTCTAACTCATTCTTCCGGTTGCGTTTGCGATTACGATTTCGGTTATACGTTTCTATTCTGCTCAGGCCTTAATTGATTTTCAATCTAACCTAATTGATTTTTAGAACTGAAGTCACGTGTTATTTTTTTCCTCTTCTCTTTTTAAAAAAAAAATAATTCAAAATGTCACATTTTTAAAAACACATTTCCTCTTTATATGGGTACTGTAAACGGGGTTATTTCGCTCAGTGCGGGTAAATTCGCTTACCTTTTTTTTTTTGCTTTAAATTTGATTTAAACTAAAAGTTGGTATTTCTATTAAGAAATTTAACATTTTCACCTGGTAATAAAGGTATTAAACTTTATTTTAAAGATGAAATGAAGCATAAAAGTGGGTGAGTGTATTTACCGCAATGAGCGAAATAACCCCGTTTTACAGTAAATTTCTTAAATTTCAAATTTAATGTTTCTTGTTCAGCGATTCTAAAAAAACATCTTCATTACCAGAAAATGTTATTTGTCATTCGTTAATTGTTAATTGTTAAGATCTATTTTTTCATAAAAAGCCATTGGACCTGAAGAGCTGACAGTATGTGCTGTCGAAACATGTTGTTCTTAAACAAAAAATTTCTATGATATAAAAAAATTTTTAAACACCTATATGGTTTCCATAAAAAAAGGCCTGGTAAAAATTTAATCAACATAATAATTAAAAGCAGATGTAAAATATTTCAACAAACTATTTTTAGGTTATGTTTGTGATTTTTGAAGTGAAGTACAGATTTAAAAAATTTAAAATGGCGGACTCAATATGGAGGAAAATTTTAAAATTGATTTGATTCGTTTAAAATTCGGTACTCGGGGTTTTTTTTTAAGAGTATATGAATCAAAATTTTGAATTTGTTAAATCTGACCTCAAATTTGGATTCAGAGACCCAAAAAACCCCCCTAGTACCGAATTTTGAACGAATCGAATCAATTTTAAATTTTTCTGCCATATTAGGTCCGCCATTTTGAATTCTTTAAATCTGACCTTAAATTTTGATTCAGCGTACCCAAAAACTTTTAATACGATGATATGATATTTTTTTGGAAACAAACAAACAATTTTTCTACTAGACTGCGAAGGGGTTAATTGTATAGAAACTTTATATAAACTATCACCAAACATATAAATTAATTTTTATAAATTCAAATAAAGATATATTAGTTGATGGGATAATAAAGGTTTGGTAAATAGGAAAAAAGGAATTAATAAGGGAGAGAGGGGAGAATTGTACATATATTTAAGTGGATATTACGTGAATATTATTTTTTGCAATTACTGCGCGCTGTAAATTGCTTTCAACCTTATATATATACAGTCTACCTCGGCTTCTCTCAATTAATTGTCCTTTATAATGTGCACGTATGTCAAGAGTGGTGATAATTAAGCGCTTGGTTGATGTCGCATTACTACATCATACATTATTACCGAGATTTTCTTTGCAATCCTTTTTGACGTAGCGCACGCGCTACGTACTTCTAGTTTAAGCCCTGTGGATTATCTTTTGAAATCCACGAGCCAAGGACCCTTTTATATATTCGTATGTGTATATATATATATATATATATATATATATATATATATAAGGGACACGATAGCGATATGAGTTATATGAATTTTCACAAGCCTATATCTATATGCAGCTGATGGTATTACACGTGTATAATGATACACACACACGTGTAAAATGTATTTTATATGCATGTTGTATTGTCGTTGTGGAAACCATATGCAGATATCGGGTTACCGCGTTACCATTTTTTCCCCCCCTTCTGCACACACCGAATGACAAGTGCGTTTATTCTTGTAAGCAAGATGTATATTCCTCTCGTTTGTACAATTTGTTGATTATATATACACGGGAGCAAAATTTTTTAATGTATTTATTTTTGTATTATTTTATATTTTTATTTATTTATTTTGCATTTTTATTTATTTATTTTATATAATTTATTAAATAAGTATATTTTAATACAGTAGTTTTTTTTTGTTTAGTACTATTAAAAAAGCGTGATTGTTAAAAAAAAGTGTATTCGTTAGAAACAATACCTTTTATTTGATAAAACATTTTTGAAATGATCGATAACGTTGAATTGATGAAGTGGCTCCGTGGTAAAGGCCCCTCACTGTCAAAGAAAACGCCTGGTGATCGATTCCCACTTCAAGAGGAAATTTTTTTAAAGAAATTAAAAAAAATTATTATTAATATATTATTAATATATATATCTGTTAAATAATAATAGAGTAAATAAGAATATTTTTAAAAAATAATTTCTTTTATAGGCAAAAAAAAATCTACCACATACCATTGTTACTGAAATATCACAATTATAATTACTTAATATAAAAATAAATAAATTCTTTTAAATAATATTAAAATAGTGTTATGCTTCCAAATAAATGTCACTGAAATTTAATATGTCAATTTTTTTTCATTTACAGCAATTATCCTTCCCATCATCACAATCCAGCCATGGAACCACAAATTTCACCTTTAGTCTTTCTGGAAGTGAGGACATTGAGGGTTCTCAGGGCGGATTTGAATGCATTCAACAAACTGGGCAAAAGTAAGTAGTTTTATTTAACGAAATATTAAAGTTTTTTTTTTTTCGATTTTATCATTCCATTCCAATTAACAATCTATTATTATTGTTGGAAATAATTCACTTACCGAGACCAACAATTTTTTAATAAAAATATTAATTACATTAAAATTATTATTGAATTACAAATAATTTTAATTTTATAACTAACAATTTTTATTGATATTTAATATTTTTAGCTTTTTTATTAAAAGGAAATTTTGGTATGGTTCCCTATTTACAAAATAAATTTTCATCTATAAATGTACATTTATCAATTGTCTCATTTTTTTTTTTATAATATTTTTGGATAATTAATAAATTTTATTTTTCAAAATTTTTTAGAAGCTTGGAGAGTTTGGGTGCCTTACAATGTAAAATGCGGATACAGGCAAATGATGATGTCTACGAAACTACCAGGCATCGCATGGCTGTTGCCGAAGAAAATAATAAAAATAAATGGTGAGTTGAAAATTGCATTAAAAAATAATTATAATTTTTTAATTAGAAAAACAAATATCAATGAAATTATTAATTAAATCAGAAAAACGATATTTTAAAATTAATAATATAAAATACCAATTTTGTGGACTTTTTGGAGTATATTCAGTACATTCAAGAGAAATTATAAATTTTGCCTCGGTTTAAAATAATTTTTTTTTATTTGAAAAAAATAAAAAAAATTATTAGGCTCTAGGACAAATATATTTTTATTTGATTGAAATAAATTTTACTTGTATCATTATTATTATAAAATATTTCTCTAGGTATTTGTAGGTTAAAAATCCAAAGAATTAATATTGTAAATATTCATTGTGAAAGTACCCTAAATTTTTTCTTTCGAAAAAAATTCGTATAAATTTAAATAGATAATTATTAGTTAATTAATTAAAATTATTATTTATTAATTATTATATTGTAAATATATATTAAATTATAATTTATTGATAATAAATAAAATTAATAGTCTTAATTAATAGGTTTTCAATTATTTTGAGGTGTATATATATATGAAAAGAACATTTTCTATATTGACTTTCACTTGCAAGAATGCATTAATAGAGAGTTTGAAAGACATATTATGTACATATATATATATAGCTATTGAAAAATGTTTGATAGTGAGATTTTTAAAATTGTGATTAATTTTTGTTTTTAATTATTATAGTACAAGGATAATCAAGCCTAATGGACCGGATATTGGACGTAAAGTCAAGGTGAAAGGAACTGTTAGAACAACACCTCTAACAACATCTACAAATGTTAAACAACGTGAATCAACGAGCAATTCAACTTCCGGTATAAATTTGTCCAGGTTCTCGTCTTCTTCTTCTTCTTCTTCTAATTCTTCTTCAACAACAACCACAATTTCTTCTTCTTCAACCTCTTCGTATAAATCAATTTCTCGTAATCCACCATCTATTTCCCGAAGTAAAACTGACAAGCAGGTTCCAGACATTGCACGTACACCAATTAGGTAATTTTTCGAAATTTTTGAATTTTTCATATATATATTTTTTTCAAATTTAAAAAAAGAATAAATAAAGTGTAACAAATTTGATAAAATTATTATTATGACATCGATAGTGAAATATATACTTTTATTTTTTGTATATAGAGAGCGACTTATTCACCTCCTTGCGTTAAGGCCATACAAGAAACCTGAACTCTATGAACGTATAAATAAAGGTAAGTTGTATTTTCAATTTCACAATCATTTTTTTTTTCTATCTTCATCGACATTTATTTAATTATTCGATTAATTATTAATTTTTTTAATTATTAGTTTTTACTAATTTTTATTTATTTTTTTTTTAATAATTACTATACTTTGTAATGAATTATTTATTAATATTAATGAATTACTCATACATATATAAATATTCATTTATCATTTGAATTTTTCAGAGGGTGTAAAGGATAAAGATCGCAGCAAAATGTTTGAGCATTTAAAGGAAATTTCCTTCATCAGAGATAACGCTTATCATTTGAAAAGGAGCAACTGGAATGACGTACAGGACAATTGGATCCACTATTCCGAGCAGGAAAAAGCCATTCTCAAGAGACGGAAACCTCAGAACTTGACACCACCTGGTTCAAGTGACGGTGGTTCTAGTGGTGAGTTGTTTATTATTTTATACTTTATATAAAATCATTTCAAGTGATTCGATAATTTATTTTAATTAATTGGGTTTATGTCCCGAATTTAACATAAATAATTAATTTATTCTAATGTCAAACTTGAAAATTGTTAGAAAAAAAAATCATTATTCACGACGATAAAAATTATTATTTTTCTAATCATCAATTTTTATTAGAATTGAAAATTGATTTTTTTAAATTATTTTCTCGGTAAATTTATATCGATATTTTTAAAATAAAAAATTGTATGCCTAAAGTTCTGAACGTTCAAATGAACAAAATAATTTTTTTTACAATGCTGAAGTTCTCAACATTTATAATCAACGATTTTTAAAGAAATAATTTTTTGAATAAAAAATTCTATGCACTTTTATCTCAAAGATATTTCTTGTAAGGTAAACGTTATGGATTTCATTTTTTTGGTCCATAAATTTGACTACAATGAAAAATAAACAAATAGATTAAATATTTAATGTATTAATTTACTTTTTTTTATACAAAAATCAATATTTTTTATAATAAAATTTCAACTTAGAGAAAAGTAGTAAACAAATTTTTCTTTCACTTAAACGTTCAGAACTTGTAGAAAATTAAAAAATTCGAATTTCTATTTAGCTAAATTTTATAAAGGAGAAATTTTGAATAATGCAAATTTTTATTCTAACAAATTTTTATTTTATCAAATTTTCGTTTAATGTAAAATTTCTATTTGAATTTTTTTACTTGGAAAATTAAATACTACGTCAAATTTTTATTTAACGTATTTTAATAGAATATTTAAATAGAAATTTTACTAATTGGAAATTTGGGGCATATTTTAAATTTAAATATTATGAAATAAAAATTCTATTTAATAAAAATTTTGTTTGTTAAACATTCTATTATATTAAAATACGTTTAGAATAGAAATTCATTAGTTTCGAAATTTGTTTTAGAATTTTAAAGTTAAATTTAATTTTGTTTTAAAAAAAAATTCTCTACATATAAATAAATAAAAATTTCGCTTAATAGAAATTCAAATATATGTAATTGCAACGAAATTACTTTAAAATTATTTAATTTAATTGGAAGATATAACTTTAAACGTAAAAAAATATAAAAACAAGCTTTTTCTTTTTATTTTCTAAAAACTGATAAAATTCTGAAAACAAAAATGTAAATTTTAAAGTTAGAAAAATTCAGTTAAATTTCAAATTATGCAGTTTTGTTTTGATTTTTAAAAATTATTCTTGTAGAAGTGTTTTTCTACTTTTTTTTTTATTCAACTTTCACAAATAGTAACGGAGAACATTATTCTTGTCAATAATTTCAATTGTACAGAAAAATACCATTGAAATTTTTACAAGATCGTTAAATAAAAAGAAAGGTTATTTAAACGTTTTTTTTTTTTTTTAATATATAAATGTCAAAAACGTACAATTAATTTCGTTGAATTGTAATTCTTTTTAAAATTTCATTTGTTTTCACCTAGAAAATAAAAAGCAAAAAAAAAAAAAAAAACTTTGTCATTTCCCGACATATAGTTGAAGAGATAATTAATAGAGAAAATGTTGTCTTTTCTTTTTATTCAGGGAGTGGTCAGTCGCCAAGCTCAGTTCATCCAGGATCACCTCCGGCAATAACAGCCCCACCACCGGCTCTTTTAAATTCAAAACGACCAGGATATTATGAGGGTAACGATGGCTTACAAACAAAGAAACCACGAATATCACATTATCGAAAACCTGAACCTCTTTTTGTGAATCACGGAGACAATCGAAGGACGACTGATGGAAATTATAATAATAGTGGCGATAGTCGTGTGAATAGTGCCGATCATCGATTTAATAATAATAATAATAATAGTGCTGACAGAGTCTCCGATAGTGTTAATAGTGTCGAAAGTCTCGGCGGAAATATTAATAATAATATTAATAGTAGTAGTAATAGTGGTAGTAGTGGTAGTGCTAGTTGCAATAGTAGAAGCAATTTATTTGCCGGGGAAACCAGCAATTGGAGTCAGAGGCAACAGAATCGCCTCAACAGTGCCGAAAGAACAACTAATAACGAAGTGCTTCGTAATAATAATAGTAGTAATAATAGTGGTGGTGGTGGCCAATATGCCACTTCAGTTTTGTGCCTATCAGATAGTGATAGCGATGATGATCAAAATCATGTGCAACATCCCAAGAACGACGAACGTAGTAGCAACAGCCATGTGATGAATAGTAGTGACCAACTTCGAAATGTAACCTATACAAATTCTCAAATTAATTATACTGAATCGCCAATGAGTCCCGATCCTTCCAACAATGTTACCAACAACGCTTCAACCCAAACGGCTAACGCTTCCAATTCACATGAAGAATATCCTGACTACCTCACGTAAGTTTTTCTCCCATCTTTAATTTCATTTTTTTTTTCAAAATTTTTTCAAAATAATTATTTTTCAAGTAAAAATAAAATTTGTTAATTTCAAAAATTATTTACACAAAAAACGATTTTTCTTGAATATATTAAAAATTACGAAGTTGAAGTGAATGATTTTTAAAGAAATAATTTTTTAAAATAAAAAATTCTATAATTTTTCGCCTAAAAAATATTTCTTGTAGTTTTCATTAATGAAAAAAACGATACAAGAGACTTTGGACTTTTTTTTCAATTGCCATGAAAAACGAACGAACGCTAAAATCTCGTTAAAATAACCATATAAATAAAATATTTTTATTTTTTAATTTTGTGATTTGATTTTTTTCTGTTTTCAGTTATTATACGAAAGTCAGCAGCGACGAACAAAGGAGACGCTACAAAGAGGAATTCAACAATCTTTATTCGGAATATAGAGAATTATACGAATTCGTTAACCCAGTAAAGAGTCGATATTATAAGTGGCAGCAGCAATTTAATGAAGTGAAAGCTCAGGGAAATTTGCAGGAACTCGAGGTAATTGTTTGAAATATATTTTTTTTTTTCCTTCACTTGAGTCAATTTTCAAGACATTTATGTTTCTTAATCCTTTGACACGTGATGTGAAAAACAGAATCCCATTTTTTGTGTTAAAACCTATATTTTTTTTTTGAATTTTATAATTTGGGATATTTTTTGTATTTGTAAATTTATGATTCAACTCTGAGGTTAATTTTAAGTTTATTAATTCTCCAAATGAAAATTTCATGTTATTTTCGAAAAAATATGTTAAAAGTTTTCAAAAACTTAATTTCGAAATTAATTTTTAATTTTTTTTTTTCATTATTTTAACTAAAGAAAGTTTTAGCTGAATTTCTTGACAATAATCAATTATCCTAAAGGACAAAGCATTTTATTTTCTTGTTTTCAATTAAATATTGTAAAAATATTTTCTGAAATTTTTGTTTCGATGCTACCTTACTAGGACCTATTTTTGAAACGAACTGGATTTGTTCCTTTTTCTTTTTGAAGTACAACAGTTTTTTTTTTAAAGTAAAACTGAAATTTTTCCAAAATATTTAACCAACATTTTAAACATAAATTCTTCAAAAAAGAAAAAATTTCCTTTCAAACAAAATCAAATTTTTAATTTACAAACATTTTTATTCTCTTTAATTTTATTCAACGAAACTTTTTGTTTTTTCTCTAAATTCCGTTTATAAAAAAAATAACTTGCATAACTTGTTTTGAATATTTTTTGTTCACATAATATTTAGAACTTTTTTAAATATCCTATTTTCTGAAAAAATTACTCTTCTAAAAATTTCGATTTAAATATTCTAGAATTTTTTTTCGATTTTAAAACAAAGGATTTTTAAAAAAAAGTTTTTTGTGCAATTTTTGTTTGTCCCCTTCTTTTTTAAGAGCAATTTTATAATTTTTTCTTAACAATGAATATTGATATTGTTTTTATTTACTTTATTTAAAAAAAAAGAAAATAATAAATTTTTGCTGATTTGGAATTGTTTTCATTTTGCTTTCAGATAATAAAGATAAACATTTTGAAAGATTACAATATAATGAATAATGACCCGGTCTTCAAGCAACGTAACACGAGACACGATTATTTACATGGAAAATTGCGTCACTTAAAGAATTTGGTTGAAGAATATGATGCGAAGCATTTCGGTGTTAATAATAGTAGTACTAGTAGTAGTAATAACAAGACGACTCTTCATGGCAAAGAAAATCAGAACTACTGACACAAACTAAAAAAATCGCATCTCGTCCATCGCTTCTTCTCCATTGTCAGTACCACAGTCTCAATGATGTTCATGCAAAACTCGCATTTCTTTTGGCATCTTTATAATGAATAAAAAGAATTCAATTGAAAATTATTCCAAAAAAAAGAAAAAAAAAAAAAATTAGTCGAAAAAAAATGTGTCTTTTTTTATATTTTTCAAAGTTGACTGAAAACAAAAAATGTTCACGTTATTTTTCCGATATAAAATAATATTCAAAGTGTGCAATTTTAAAGTGACGGCGAATTCACTTTTTGATAGAAAACCTGCAGCCATGAAGGAAAAATAATTTTCGATAAAAAGAAATTTTTTTTTTGGGAAACAATAATTTTTTTAGAGAGAAAGAGAGAAAAAGAGTGAGAGAGAGAAAAGAAAAAGAAAACTGAAGAATTTTACTTTGGACGTTGTAACCGATCCTTCGACAATATCAGTCCGTTCACGTGCAATTAGCAAAAAAAAAAAAAAGTCTGATGACAATCAGAAAGCCGACGTTATCATGTTGGAACACTCCATCCTTGAAAAAAAGCTGCGTCTCGTCCAAAAGACTGTCCAAACGTAAAGCAAAAAGAAGAGAAAGGAAAATTGTTAAGTCTTATGTACGTAAGTTTATTTACATCGCGCACGTCCAGAGTGTCTCGTCCAGTTAAAAAAAAATTAATAAATAATAATTTGACTGAAAAAGAAAAAATAAAAGCTTTCGTGATTTCCGAAAGTGTGAAAAAAAGTTAACTTCTCGAAAGTGGAGCACTTTGTTTCTTTATATGAAATAATTGCGAAAGTATGATGCGTCATATCATTGAAAATGTTAAACGTGTCCAGATATTTATCTTAGTTGTATTGCCTTAGTTCAAGGTTTTTCCAAGGCAGTTTCTTTTTCAATCTTTACTTAGGATTTTTGAGAGAGAGAGAAAGAGAGAGAGAGAGAGGGAGAAAAAAAACACACACAAAATAATTAATTTATTAAAAAAAAAAAAAAAAAAGAAATTCTTGAGACGTAAATGTGAAAAAAAAGATTCCGTGCGTTTTAAAAAAAAACAAAAAAAAAAAGAAGAAGTGCTACAGGAGAAGGGTTGAGTTTTATTAGTGGTTATTATACATTTTAGTAATAATTGTTTTTTAATTTTAAAACAAAAATTTAGACAATAATATTTGAGTTTTTGTGTGAACTTTTTTATTCACATTTTTTCACGTCCACATCTCTTAAATAGAAGAGAAGAAAATTTTTTTATTGCGATTTGCTTAAAAATTAATATGTTATTGCATATCACGTCTTTCAAATCTTCTTCTTCTTCTTCTTCTTCTTCTTCTTAATATCAAATTCCATCTGAGCTTTTGAATTTTAAAGGAGGGAAGGGGGGTAAACAAAAAATTCTCGTCTAGCTACAAAAGTATACACTATCATTATGCGATTATTTTGTTTGTTTATATTTTTAATTTTTTTTTTAATTGTAAAATAACATTGAACGTAAAAAAATATAGAAACTAAATTTAAAATTTCTTCCTCTTTATTTCTTAAAAAAAACTGATATTAATTTTTTAATTAAATATTTGAACGTTTTTCCAAAATATCTGGAAACTGAAATAAAAAAGAAGTTTTCTTTTACGCATTGTTATTTTTCAATAATCCAAAAATTGTTTTTTCGCATAATTTCCAAACACAATGTGTATTACTTTAGCGAGAGTTTGTGATTTTGACAATATATATATATGTATATATATTTCGCTCTTGTTGTGTTAAAATTTGTTTTCTTTGTCTCATTAAGAAAAATTTCAATCAAAAAAATTGAAATCAATTTCAATCAATAAACTGATGAAATAGAAAGGGTAAAAAGAAAATTCGAAAATTTTCAAAAAAGCTAGCCAGAGTCGGTATAGCAAAGACGAGAAATGGCAGAGTAGAAAGCGAAAAAGCAAATAAATTTTGCTATTAAAAAAAAAAATGTTGAATGTAATGAGAGAAAAAAAAGTATAATTTACAATACGACTGATGTATTCGAGTGTTACTTTTCAAGATCGCCCTACGATTAACAAAAAAAAAAAAATCACGGCAATGATCGAAAAAAGGATACTCTTGTGTCCAAAATTCTTGTATATCGTGTAGAGTATATATAAAAAAAAAAATTTTTATGAATTTTAACACACTAGCTTTTAACGTAACGTTATTAATGGTTAATAATAAATAGGAAAAAATACTTATCGTAACAGGTTTTTTGTATTAAAAAAAAAATAAATAAATGAAACAAGTTAAGCCAGAATTCTTAATTATTCAAGGTCTTTGTCTATTCAAAGCGACCGAAAATAATGTACAGGCTCGCGATATTTCGCTTAAAAAAAAAAATTATTCATGTAATATGATATTGATATTATGATTCTAAGAATGCAATAATCATAGTAATATCATCAAACTATCATTCACTATCGCCATTCAGAGATAGTTTGTAGAATTTTAATCCCCCCCCCCTACCCCTTTGCTACTATTAAAAAATGAAAACTTTCTGCAAATTTTTCAGAAAGTGAGAGAGAGAGAGAATAAATAAGAAATTATATAGCAAAAAAAATGTCCTAAACAAATTTTGATTTAAATTTTTAATCAATCGCTATAAATAAATAAATCAAAAATCTTGTTTCTACTGAAAATTTTTGCTCGAATAGTGATAATTGAGTGGAAAAAAAAGGAAAAAGATATTAGAAAAATTTCATTAAATGAAGAAAATTCGATTGTTAAAAAAGTCATATTTTTTTGTGTTTTCATTTTTCAAAAAATTTTTCTCTATTTATCTCTCGAGTTGTTTGGTTTTTATTATTATTATTATTATTATTATTATTATTATTATTATTATTATTCAAAATATCGTAGTATTATGATTCTATTGTTGTTGCTGCTGCTATTACTGCTGCACGATTAGAGATATTAGCTTGTTGCGTTTTATTATGAAAATGATACTGCTCAATTAAATAATTAAATGATGAATGAATTTTGCTCAGCATAATAATGTTGACTGTCGTCTTTTTAAAAGGGCCAAGAGCGAAAGGAAAAGGGAAATAAAAAAAAATCATCGCGAATTTTTTTTTTCTATTTTCAAGTTCGAAAACCCTTTAACTTTTTTTTAAATCGCACTTTAATTAAAAGTGGGCTCTTATGGCACAGTGATATTTATATTCGCTTATATATATTATACTAACAGATATAGAAATTATTATTATTATATATTATCACTGACTATATGGAAAATATCGTTTAGGAATAAATAATAAAAAAATTGCTTAGTAATGTAAAAATTTAAAGAAATTGAGAAGTTGAAATTGCGCTTAAGGGAAAAAAAATGTTAAAAGAACAAAAAGATGTTGCTGAATTATTTTTAAATAAAATTTTTGTTTGCAATTATTGGAGGTTCTTTTTTTCTTTTTGTTTATGTCACTGTGCTATATATTGTCTTCGATTTTGAAATATTATTAATGCTTTATTTCTTGAATACACACAGTCCAGTCAAATTTTATAGTTACCACTACATACCAGTCAGTACCTTTTGTTTCTTATTAATACTATATTTCAACTTCCATTTTAAAATGCGTGACAAGAATTATATAATGTAATAATTATTTAAATACAAATAAATCACTTTTGTAACATATCTGCGACTCTTTTATATAATATATATGGCAAATCATATTTATACTATATTATGAATTTACAAACTACAAAATTGTATAATTTACTACATATATTACACAGTAAAAAAAATGGTGTTTTTGCAAAAATAATAAATCAAAATTCTTCTGTTTTTTTTCTAATTATAAAAATGATCAAAAAATAAGTCTCAAAAACAGTTATGGATCAAAAGACCAAAGTGGAAAAAAAATTGATTTAGTAATGGCAATCAAAAGCAATCACGACAAATTTAAAAAAAAAATACTTATGTATCTTCATTAATTTATTAATTATTCTCAATTTTATGTGGAACTGAGAATTATTTCTGGATATGCACAAAATTAGCAAACTAATTTTGAATTTTGCAGTTATATTCGCACAGATCCAATTTCCAGTTTATATTGTATTAATAATACATATTTCTTCCGGTGCATTTCTTATCATTAAAGTCAACGCGAGAAAAAATAAAAAAAAAGAATAATCACCTTTTTTTTTTGTTTTAAGAGAATCCAAGTGCCAATCATAGCAAAAATAATGCTACAATTTTATTATAATATATACATGCTTTACCTAGTACATACACATGCATAATATACATATAATAGCACAATAATACATATATATCTATATCTTATTATAATGAGAACTTTTTCACTCTCGAGGGCTAAATAACACAAGAAGCAACAATAAATTTAAATAATCGCGCGTGCGAATTTAGTCAAAGTCGTCCTACTAATTTTTTTGCGTGAAAAAAAAACTCGAAATTTCTACTCGAAAAAAATTTTTTTTTATATAGCCAACTTCATGAGACTAAATATACAATTTTGATCCATTTACATAACTTTAAAATGAAAAACGTATTTTTTTCATAATTCATATATTTTTACAATTTTTTCTTAATGAATTTTATTGGAAATATGCATGTTAGGATTTATAAATAATTTCCTAAATGAATTATTGTAATTCTCTTTTTAGAATTTTTTCCTTCAATTTGAACTTAAATTTCTTTTTATTTGTATTTATTTTTCTGAAAATGTCAAAGTCATTGGCAGAACTTTTATCTTTTTTTTCATTTTAAAATTATGTCAGGGAGAAAACTTTATATATTTAAATCACACACAGTTACCAACATTATGGTATAGGAAACAAAATATTTATTATTTATATTTTAGAAAATATTTACAATCAGATCTAGTGCAATAATTACGTTTGCTTTTTAGATTCAAAATCAAAATCGGTCGGCAGTACCGATGGATTTTAACATGAGAAGCAAACGGATTTAGTTCCTTTTAAAATCAATATTGGTTGTACTATATTTTCAATATTTATTATTTTATTATAATTTTATATTTAATTTTTATTTTTTGTTTATTTTGTTTTAATTTTCTTTTTTTTTCAGAGAAATTTCGAGTTTTTATAAAATCAGTAAACGTTATTTTTGAAAAGTAATAAATACCTTATTATTATTATATATTTTTTGGAACTTTTTCGTCATCAACAATTTTATTTATCTTTTTTAGAAAAAAAAGATTTTCAGAAATGTAAAAAAAATTTAAATTTACAAAAATGAAAAAGACGGCAGACAAATTATGCATGCTCGTTGTTGTAATATTACAATTTTGACTGTGATGCTACATTTTATATATATATATAGTTCATATATTACGTTCGTAAATACTTCTTTTCAACGATGTTTGCATTTTTTGTGCCGTGACACCAAATTCAATAATTTCTTTATTTTGTTGCTTAGATGTGATATTAAGCTCTCATACATTGTTTTCCTTTTCTCCTTTTTTGTTTTTTTTCGTTTTTTGTTTTTTGTTTTACTCTACACATATTGAAATTAATTTCAATCGGTCACTTGGCAGAGTTGGATGCGCATAATATTTATTTTCCAATTAAATTTCGATCATTTTTCACTAAAATTTGTTTCAAATTTTATGCCACAAAAAAAAATATTCTAAAATTGAGAATATTTTAATTCTTAAATAATATTTTAAAAATCGTATCGATGGAATTTAAGAATAAAATGCAGCTCAATTTCAGAATTTTTTTTGTTTGTTTTCATTTTGTATCTTATGTTTAATAAATTTTTTAATTATTATTATTTGAAAATCAATATATATATATTGTTGTAAAAAAAAGCAATGAATTTGTGGAACAAAATTAGGAAAAGTATGAATGTTATAAAAAGAAAATGAAATTTAGATTTGTAGTTGAAATTAAAAAAATATTTGTTATGATTCAAAAACCGACTCTGGTTGTATAAAAACTTTTAAAGCTCAGTCGCGTTGTTCTACTTTGTTGATAAAATTTCTCTCAATAATGATATTAGAGAAAAAGTACGAACAATGTTTTTTTTTTTTTAATGAAAATGCGAATATTTTCAAAAAAAAAAAAAAAAAAAAAAAAATCATTAGGAAAAGCAAATTGTTATATATGTTGGAATGTGTGGCTGGAAATTTATTTTTTAGTACTTGAAAAAAGAAATAATTTTTTTATCATTAAGTCCAGGAAAAGTCGACTCGAAAAACAAAATTTTTTTCATCGATTTTTCCTAGTCATTAAATTTTAATTTACATAATATTATATTTTAGAAAAATTATATAAATCTTTCAGAGACAAAAAAACAAAAAGGAGCAAAAGTAAAAAAAATATTGAAAAGAAACTTGTGCAAAATTATTTTTTAGAGTTTTGCAAAAAAGAAATTTTAATTTCAAAATGTGATTATTTTGCACGGATTTCTTAAAAAAATATATATAAATATATATAAATAAGAAACAAAAAAAAAATGTCAGTTTATATAGCAAAATAACGTGGTTTTTTATCAATATTTCCCAATATCAAATATATGTATTTGCGAAACAAGGAGGAAAAAAATACAATATTTACCTATATATATATATATACTAATTTAATAAATATTAAAAAAAAAATGATAAAAAATAAACGAAATCCATAGGCCATTGTGAACACGCGTAAAAAATACCGACGATTATTATTTTATAAGAGGCGTGTAATATTTGGATGACTGTATAAGTGTGCGACAAACAAAAAGGGCCTTGTGAAGCGAATTTCCTTAAGGCGTCGATTTGCTTGAAAGGAAATAAAAATTTAAGGCGATTTAAATAAGTTACATTATATCGTATACAATAAAACAAAAAAACAAAAAATAACAAAAAAACAAAAAAAAAAAAAATGTACCCGTGACTCTTTTATTGACGACGACTGCATTGCTCCCCTTGACAAAGGCTCGTATATCCATTATATAGTTGTATTTGCAATTTATTATCTATATATTATTATATTCATTAATTAAAATAAAAAAAAAAGTATATTATATATATATTTGGTAAAGAAAGGAACGTATATGAATGATTCGAAAAATTATAAGCCCTCTCGGGGCGGCGGGGGAGAAGTACTGATAGAAAAAAAATCGATCGTTTTTTAAAAAAAATTCTTTTTTCCAGTTTCTTTAATATTTTTATTTTTAATCAGTTTTTTATCTTTTTTTTTTTGTTAATGGAAATAATTTTCATTTGGTGAATATTAAAGAGACAAAGAAAGAAAAAAAGGAGTGAAGAGATAATTGATAATAATTAAGTACTCGTAAAGTGGGAAAAATAATTTTAGTTGACTTTGTTGCCCTGAAAAATAAATGTGACTGCTATATTATATAATCACAAATAAGTAAGGGAAATTTAAATATTGTTACCTGACAGGTGCTCATGTTTTAATTTTAACAATCAATTGTTACGTTCCTATCTTTACTCGCTTCTGTTTTTAATATTGGAGAACATGCATATTTCGAAAAAGCATTAAAAAAACACGAAAAAAAAGTGAATAAGTCGATGAAGTTATAATTAGATTTAATATAAAACGATGATGATGTTAATTGATATAAAACGAAATGAAATGCTGATGTAGGAGAGAGAGAGAAAGAAAGAGAGAGAGAAAAATAAAGGAGTATGTATAATATGTATTTTAAGCAAGGCAACAATTTACATTTATATTAACGGTAACGAGTAACAAATACATATGTGGGTTGTGCATAAAAAAATACGTATGTACGTGTTTTGGTTAGAGCTTATCGAGAATAATAATAAGAAATACCATTTTATTTCTCTTGTCGTATATAGCTTTATAAAAAAAAAAAAAATAATTAATTGAGTTGAGTTAGAATAATTCAAAAGAAACACACACAATTAAAGAACAATTTATTTTCATCAATGACCAGTAAAATAAAATAATTTTTATTCATATGCCAATTGTGCTTGTACTTCCGTCCCATAATGGGCAATCGTGAAATCTCTTATTTGAGATTGCTAAACACCAAAGACAAAAAAAAAAAAAAAAAAAAACATTCTAACTCTCCTTGAAATAACAATTTTCATTTTTCAAAAGAAAATTAAAAAGTATTTTTCTTTTAAAAATGAATTTTGATTATTATTAAGAGCATTTCTAAATAATTATTTGAAATTCTCAAAAAAAAAAATTGTTTTTTTTTCCCCCAAAAAATATACGAAGAGAAAAAATAAAAATTGATAAATAATATTTAAATCAAAAATCAATGGTGAAATTATTATTATTATTATCATCGAAAACTTATCTCCCATAATTTAAAATCATATTTTGTTTTAAATAAAAATAATTTTTAACAAAATTTCTCTGATATAAAATAAAATTTAAAAAAGAATTATTTCTGTGATTAAAGAAATATTCAAATAATTTTTCTCTTGGGAGAAAAGAAAATTTTCGATTTCTCGATTAATTACTCTTTCCAAATCACAGCTTGTGAGCGGTGAAAAAATTTCCAGAATATAATATTATTATTATTATTATAATGGAAACATCCATCGCAAACGACAGGATTTATACAATTATTTATTCAAACGACTTGCCAAGTTCATTGCACAGTATATATCGAGAGATAAATTCGAGAAAGATTTTAAGGATTAACGAATGAGACGTATATAGACATTGAGAATTTTCATGAGATATTGATGTATATATCTTAAGTTTGTATTATAACTCCCCACTTAATTTGTATGAAATGGAAGTATCATTAAAATGATGATGAAAACAAATTTGTATTGTAGTTTTTTTTGTTCCTCAACCATACCAAATTTTTAATTTTTTATTTTTAGTTTATTGCTGTTTTTTCTCAGGAGTAAATGTACTTAAAATTTTTAATTTTGTGCAGTTGGACGAAGAATTTAATAATGTTTAATATTCCTATTTATTTTTCTAAAATAAATTATAGTGTTAGATAAAAATTGTTTTTAAATGTAAATTGAGCAAAATCACCATATGTCGATGGTCGTGTACCAATTTCTCGATGGTATTGAATTTTTTTAACATATAACCTGACAATTAATGAATTAACCTTTAACAGTATTTACAAAATCGAATAAATATTTTTTTTTTAAATAAAAATATTATAAAACATTGACATGAAACAATTTTACTTATATTTAACTATAAGTTTATAGTTTATACAAAAAATAACTAACCTATAAAAGTTTTGCATCACTGACGTTTAATAAACAAAAACTTAACCAACTTTATTTTGCATTTTTTTTCGTTCGAAGCATCGACAAATGGTACATCAGCTAAAAAACGAGTCAATACCTCGAAAAATGGAGCTGAGATAAAATATGGAACCAGATACCGATAATTTGCTTTAAAAAAATATAAAAAATTTATTTTAACAAATATATTTATATAAAAATTTAATACAGTTCTTCTACAATTCTATAGTAATAATTAAATACAAAAAAAGTTATTAGAAATACATTTAATTTGTATTTTTAAAATTCAACTCCCATCAATTTGAAGTATTAAGAAAATGGCGAATCGAGTAAATTTGACAGCAGTGAATTATAATTATAAAAGAATAATTATTATAGTGCCATCGATATGAAATTTAATGGGGTAAATATGTCATTGGAAATATAAGGTTAATTTACAAATTATTTTGGTTTTTAAATTTTCTACAATATACTATTTATCGGAAAAAGAAAATTACGACCATCGACAATTGGAGCACCATCGGTAACTATGGTACACTTACCCTATTTATTATATTATTATTTATTTCTTTCAAATTATTATTCATTTAATAATTAATAATTGTTTAAATGTGCATCTTTATTGGTAATTGTGTCAAAAAAAGAGATTAAAATAATTTTTTAAAATCATTTTGCAACATTTATATTAAATATAATAGTAATAAATATGTTATTTTTTATAAACGCACTGTAATTGGTGCTTACTTTCTCTAATTTATTTTTTATTATTTAAGAATTTTATAAATATATTTAAAAATAAAATTTCTTCTTTTTAGTACATATTATTTATATTAGAATAGAATTTTATTTCTTTGACAATATAAAATATTTGTTTCTTGTCCAGATACAGACATATTTACATTTTATTTTCTCGTTTTTCTAAAATAATACAAATTTCATTAAAAACTTTACAAATATCAATGTCTTATTTTATTTATATTAAATTATTTGCTTTTTCCTTCATTATTCATCAGCCATGTTGAAAAATAAAGTAACCATTTTTTTCCCTCACCAATTGTATTACAAATTGTAACTTACAACTTGTAACTTGGCGTATTTTTTGTTACGCATGCGCAAAAAAATGCCGGTCATACACTATATTCTCGTGATAGACATGACAGATAATGGAATATGAAGTGAGATTAAAATTCGTCTGCTTGTCTTTTTTTTAATAATGAAAATAAAGTATTTCTTTTAAAAAAATAATCCTACTAGAAAATGTTGAATGTAAAAACAATAGTGATTAAGAATTATTTATTGTAACAATTACAAATTAAAATAACGTGAAAATGGCTGCAGAACGTGAATGTACGGTAAGTAACCTCATTGCATGTATAGAAGACATATAATGAAACCGTACATTATTATGCTATATGTAAAAAAACATTGGAAGTTATTATCAAAAAAATGAAGATTAAATTGTTTAAATTGTTTGCAAAGCAATTTTCTTTAATTTGTGTACAGATAATGATTTTTTAAAAACTATATTTATTTGTCCTTGTATTTTATATCCATATCGGTAAAACTATATTTCTAAGATAATTTTAACAAATACAATAATACTTTATTTACTAATACTTTATTTTAATTATAATTAAAATGTTTTGTTTCTTTTGTCACAAATTATGATTTAAAAAAAAGGAATAATTTTTTTTTTTTTTTTACAAATATATCAGAAATCTATACCTAATTTAATATAACTAATTAATTTATTTTTTTACTTTCATTCAATATTTTCTCGAAGAAAAAAGAAACTTCTTTTTTTTCTAGAAACATAAAAGAAAAAACAAATAATTTGATTCGTTGATTATACCTTTAATTAAATATCGATTAAATTATCGTCGAAATTTTTTTTTTTAAACATGAGATTATTATTATTTATTATTATATTAATATTATTATTTAGGTACAAGATCTAAAGGAGAAGGGTAACAATTGTGTAAGGGAGAATAAATATGAAGAAGCAATGTATCATTATACACTTGGAATTAAAATGGATCCACAAAATTATTCATTATACAGTAATCGATCACTGGTCTTTTTAAGAATGCAACAGTATCACTTATCAATGGAAGATGCTCTTATGACCATTCAGATAAAACCCGATTGGACCAAAGTAAGAAATTCACTTCTAACCCTGATCTAAATCTGAATTAATAAAAAATTTAACTAAAAAAATTCACAATCTACATTTTACGGAAACTATAATATGAAATTAATAATTAAGGGGACTTTCTGGTTTAGAATTGACAAAAAATTACACGTTTTAAAATTTTTGTTGTGAGAAAAGTATTAAATAAATTGCAAAAATTCTTTTTGGACATGATTGCACATTACATAGAGAAAATTAAAAAAAATATTTTTAAGTGTATTTAGCTCAATTTCTTAGCTGCTGGTTGCGTCTTCTAAAAGGTGCCTTTTTTTAGTACAGGTGATTGCGGACAACCTGTAATATATAATTTCAAATTTCAAACGCGAATCTCTTTATAAGGGTTTATTCTAGACAATAAACCTAAAAACCGATTTTTTAGAAGGTTTCTTTTATTTTTTATTAACATTTTTCTTAAAAATTCGAAAAAACACCGCGTTTTTTGGGGCAATTTACCCTCTTATAAAAAAACAGGGGGTAGAAAAATGAAGTTTCAAAGGTTTATTCTCTAGTTTTTTAACTAAGGAATGGAATGATTTTTAGTTTTTTAAAATCGGTTCACTAGATTTCGAGAAAAGCCGTGTACCAGTTTGAAAAATGTGTTTTCGAGAAAAACGCGTTTAAACTTTTCATAACTTAATACTTTGAGCCAGGACTATCAAGCAATTTTTGATTACAACTTTTGTTTTTTACATATTTTTTAAAAAACGTTTTCGGACATTAATTTTATGATACTAAGGAACATTTTCAAGAAAAAAAAAAATTTATTTTTTTTGAATTCTAAACGAGAAAGTCCCCTTAATGAAAATAATTAATAAATTAGTGAAACTTTTTTCAAGTTTATTATTATTATTATTATTATTATTATTATTATAAAATAATATTTATTATTGACCGAATTTATTTCATCGAAGGTGAAAGTCGATTTTTTTTTCTCCAAAATGTTGTTTTTCGATGCTTTTTAGAAATGTATTTTTTTTGTTGAAAAAATTTTTTTATAGAAAGTTACAACGAATTTAATTTTTCAAGTCGGAATAGTCGTTTATCTTAAAATTAAGAAAAAAAAATCTTTTAAATTTTATACTTTTTGTCAAATCGGGATATTTAATTTTTTCTTTTTTGACCTTAAATTTGAAATTAAATATAGCAGAATCACTATAAAAACAATATTGCAATAAACATGATTTCATATTTCTCTTTTCTGTAAATTTTTATTTTTGCTTCCAAATTATAAAAAAAAAAAAAAATTAAAATCGACTTTGATGTAAGTTGGAAATATTAAAATGAAATTTTTCAAAAACTGCTTTTTTTGATCATTTTTATCTTTGAATCATCTAAAATGTATGGAACTAGAAACTAGAAAATCTAAACTTTCTATTCTATTTTAAATTTCAAACTAGAATTTCTTTATGAAATTGAGAGAAATGAAAAATAAAAAGAGCATTAAATTCTCTTTCGAAATAGTGTGATGAAATGATTTCTGATTTATATAATAAAATATAACTGATATATTAGTAAAAATCATACTAATTCAGATTTAGATAATAAATTACTTAAATATTTCATATTATAAAACTTATTATAAATAAATGTTTTTCTCGCAGGGTTATTATCGAAAAGCCGAAGTTGAGTTTCATACTTTTCGATTCAGTGAAGCAATTCAGTCTTATAGAAAAGCTCTTGAATTGCAACCAGATGATCCTAGCATAATAGACGCAATGAACAGAGCTTCCAGGTCACTCATACAAGATAAAAGAGGTATTGTTCTATTTTCGATGAATTTTTTTTTTTATTTTCTATTTTAATATTTGCATTGCATTCTCCATAAAATCTTTTTCTCTGATTAAAAATTACAAACTTGCCTATTAAAAAGAATATATATTCATTCTATTCTTAAAATTAAATTTAATAAATTGCTTCTTATTTTAATAAATATATTATATAAAAGTAAAATACAGATTGTATTCTTATAAATATAGGAGTTAAGATTATAAGAATCATTGAAAATTCATAAATATTGTGGTTACGAATAAAAAAAAAATATTATAAAACTTTTTTAGCTGACCAACAAATTCCATGGCTTGGTGCCGGTGTTGGAATAATACTAGGAGTGATAGTCGTAATTGCTGATTACGTATTCACAAACAAACCAACACTATCGGTGAGAAATATTGCAAAAACGTTTATTTATAATTAATTGAAAAGAGGACAGTTTTACTTTTTTTCCTGAATTTTTCAACATTATTTTTACGAAAGAAAGAAGTTAAAAAAAAATTTCTTTCCTTTTTATCAGTAATGGAAAAGCAATTGTTTAGGATTATTAAAATTATAAAGTTAAATATTAAAATTAACAATTAGATTGTGTTAATTAAATTCTGATTCAATTATTGTCATGACTATTGATTAATAATATATTATAATTAATAATTACATATATTATTATTGACTTATGTATAATATTTTTATATTATTATCAATTTAATTTGTCAATAATAATTAAATTAGTCACATATTCACATTGTCCAATTCTCTTTATGGTTTTACAGCATCCAATTTTAATGGTTTTATTGACAATGGCAATAGCAATAATTGGCTTTGGAGTAGCAAAAGGATTTCGTTATTTCGTTAAATGTCAGAGAAAATCGTTGCTTGAACCGCCGGTGGATTTATATGATGAAGAAAAAGAAGAAACACCGTCCGATTCAGACAAAAGTACAGAAAAAGATAAACATCCAAAATATAGTAAAGCGCAAGCTCGACAAAGATTTAAGAAAGGGAAATTATAGCAAATTATTGACTAAAATTTTGACATATTTCTTATAATTATATATATATTAAATCATAAGTTGCACCAATTCATTAAAACCGTTTGAATGCATATAATGATCATCATAAAATCAATAATTCGAAGTATAATCTTCTATAAAAGAACTGATCTTTTTATCCGCGTGTATATCACTTTTCAAATTTTATAAATTAGTTTTTAATTTAAATTAATCGACAAATCTGAAGTAATATATTATAGTTTAAATAATATAAACTGTAAATTTGTTTTAAAAAAAGTTATTACCTAAGTTTATCTTTAGTTAACAAAATTCTCGCATTATCATCTCTCTAGCGAGCTCTGTCGATAACTACGATAAAAAAAAGATAAAATGCTTGTTTAACTAGAATAATTATTTATAATTATTTTGTAATTAAAATAATAATAATTTTAGAAATTATAAATATAATAATTATTTTATAAAGATAGGATTATTATTACATGTATTTCACTGGCAAAGGTTGGCAATTATTTTTAGTTATTAGGACCGGAACAAGATTAGAAATACTTCCTCCATGAGGAAGGAAAATATAAATGTAATACATTATTATTTATTATATGTGGAATGCTAATAACAAAATTTGTATTATTTGTTGAAAAATTATACTGTATTTTTGTTCTTTGAATGTAAATTATTATTATTTTTGCCTGCCTTTAAAGAATATTATTATATATAGAATATTTGTCCATATCTCTGGAACTTTTAATTTTAATTTTTCATTTTAATCCCAAAATTTTTTTCATTTTAGAGAAATTTTTTTAGTACTAAAAAATATATATTTTTCCACATGGCCTTAAGACGTCAAATTAAGGTGCTTCGTTTCTTATAAAAAAAACTATTGTAAATTAAGTAACTAAAAACATGCATTAAAAAAAAATGTTTAAAAATTAAAAATTAAAAAATCCATTAAAAACTTATGGTTAAATTTTAGTGTTTATTTGCATAGAAAAAATAGATGAATAAAAATTAATTTTAAAGAAAAAAATAAAATGAAAAAAGAGAGAGAACTTGTAAAATGAAAAAGCAAGTTATTTGAAGTTTATATGTAAACAGTTTCAATATCGTGCTCCGAAAAATATTTTTTCTTTTTTTCATTGAAAAGTTAAAAGTTCCAGAGATATAAAATTAAAAATTCTTACAAATATTTTTCTTCTTATGCACACAAAATTTAAAAAATGCTAATAAAAAAAAGAGTCAGTGAAATTTTAACTGGACATCATTTAAAAGTGGCTTCGATTTATTGAAGCTATACATTTTTTAGTATTCTAAATTTATTTTAGTACCTAATTTTACAGGAACACTATCAACAGTTTTTATAAATATTTTTTTTTTTTACTAAAATTCATTAGTCAGAAATTAATTGCCGTAAATTGAAATTTTTTTTAAAAAAATTTTTGATTTGAATCGAATTTCTATTTAAATAAATTTTTTGTTGAACACAATTTCTACTTATTTAGCTTCTATTTAATAAAAATTCGAGTAAAAGAAAATTTTGTTAATTGGAAACTCTACTACATGGAAATTATTTTTAAATAAAAAATTAATTGAAATAACATTCTGAAAATTCTGCTAATGTCAATTTGACTAAAAATAAAAATTCGATTAACAGAAAAAAACATTTACTAAATTTGTAAAATGTAAAATAATAATCCCGCGATCTTAAAAGAAAAAATCGAAAAATTGTTTGCATTAAATGGTAATACTTTAGTTTTTTCATAAGTCAAAAATACAATTAATATTTACGTTATGAAAAAAATTATAAGAAAAAAAGATGAATTTGAAAGTTCCTTTTTCTTAAAAAAAAAGAATGAATATTAACATTTTATTGTCTTAAAAAAACATAACTATTCATAATATATTTTTATAGTTTCTATTTTCTTAAGGAGAAAAATAAACTATCAATATTACATTAATTTAAAAATTTTTGCTTAAATATTTGAAATTCTTATAAAATAATGAATTTTGTAATTCTTTAAATTTATTTGAATAAGGATAACCTACTTTAAAAGATCGAGTGCTTGCAACTCTTGATAGTTTCAATATTTACTTTACTTATATTGTAAATCTTGATTTTAGCGAAAAGTCTAGTGTAATTTTTAATTAATTAATTACTTGCATTTTCGAGTATCATTTTTCATGAAAAATTTTAATTTGTAGCCCATAAAACGTCGACTCGAAAATTTTAACAAGTCTTTTCCTATCAAAACTTTTGAATTTTTGACACACTGAATAGAACTTCATTTTCAAGTTTTTCCAAGAGTCGTTCTTTTTTTTCCTTTCTATTCAATTCCTTTTTTTTTTTTTCTTTGATCGATCAACGTTTTTCTTCCCATGTATATGCTATCAGACTACATATATACGGTCTATTTTTTTTACGAGAAAAACTTTAAAAGCCTGATTACTACCTTTTTAACTTACATGGTGGCTTCTAATATTTTAAAGAGTAAAAAATATGTATTTTATTTATTTACAATAATTTTCTAGCAATTATTTTTGTAACGAAACATAACATAATTTTTTTTTCTTTTTCAAAATTTTCGATTTTTTTTTAAAGAGATTTTTTTTTTGACGTTAGTGGAGAAAATATGGTGAAAAAAAAACAGTTTTGATTGCACGAATTTACGCTTCAGTAAAACTCGTACTGAGAGAAAAGAGAGAGAAAAGAGAGAGAGAGAGAATTGTATTAAAATTCAATTCAATGTCTACATGATACGTTTCACAGAAATCAAACGAGCTTTTTGTAAAACTACTTCATTTTCCGTAATTTGAAAACCAGTTGCTACAATTCGAGCTTTTAATGATAAATCAGAGAGAGGGGAGAGAGAGCTCTTCATCATTGAAAATCAATCAATTAAATTCAACTTCATTAAATTTACATACTATCATGTTATACCTTCCACGTTGATTGAAGCCATCAATTTTGATCATCGCAGCATTTATCGCCACTTTTCTCATGCTTGTATGATTCATTAATGTCCCTCATATTCATTTTTCTATTTCAAATGAAATTCTAACAAACAAATTTATGCACTTTAAGCATGTTTTTTTGCGTATACGTCATAAAAAATGATGATTCAAAATTTATTTCGACTTTTCAAATAAAAAAAAAAAAATTACAATATACAATAAAATCAATAAAATATAGTTTTTCCATTTCTTTAAACTGACAACTGTTAATAAATTAAATAAAATAAAATTTAAATAATCTGACATTGACGTAATATTCTATTGGTATTTTTTTTATGGATATTTAAAACTTTTACGACTTTCAAATAATTATTACATTCAGAGAAAAAAAAAATATATATTTGCCTCATAAATGAATATTTCTTTCGAATAAATTTAATTTGGTTCAAATAAAAATTTTACTTGTTTCAAATAAATTGAATTTGATTCAAATAAAAATTTTACTTGTTTCAAATAAATTTAATTTGGTTCAAATAATAATTTTACTTGTTTCAAATAAATTGAATTTGATTCAAATAAAAATTTTACTTGTTTCAAATAAATTTAATTTGGTTCAAATAAAAGTTTCGTTTGCGCCAAGCAAAATTTGTATTTTTTTTTGTTTTTAAAAAACAAAAATTAAATATTATCAGCTATGCAAACCAAATACCAGAAAAATAAACAAATTATTAGATTTCTTCTTAAAAATTAAAAAAAAATTAGGTAAAAAAAATTTTTTTTTCATTAATATATTTTGGCAGTTTAAAATTTGCAGGAAATTATGTTTATAAAGAAAACCAAAATTCAAATATACCAGCAATTTTCTTGTAAAAAAAATTAAAAATAAACATTTTTTTCTAAAAAAAAATAATAATTTTCCATAACATATTTTTGGCAGTTTAAAATTTGCAAGAATAAAAATATCTATATAAAAAAAACTAGTTTTAAAGATTTGTCAAAAAGTGTAAAAAAAAAAAATGCTTACACCAGCTGCTTGAATGAATAGAAAAATCTCTCTTTTAAAATCTCTATATAATCTGTCGTTTGAACTTTGAAGTGATTGGGATGAGAGTGAAAGAGAGAATAAAGGATATTATATATTTTCTTTAAAAAAAAAAAACGTCTAACACTGCACATTGTGCAATTAATTCGTTTAAAGCTTATTATAAAAAAGTGAAATGGTTTTAAAAAAAAAAAATCCGTACCAAGCAGTGTTTGATGAAGTAAGTTGAAACGCATGCGTCACTTCGTTCTCTATACAAGTCTAGAACAAACCTTCGACTTTGTTATTGAAACATATTTGCTAAAGTTGGCTTGGAGCTTCATTTCTCTCTGAAGCCTCGTACAAGAAGGATCGGGGATCGTTCAGTTTCACGGAACATCGACAATTTTCCACTTGATCAAACTTTCATCGTATTTTACAGCGCGAGCCACCCTGGAAAACCGGATCAGTATATTAGAAATTAAATATAAACAATTTTCTTTTATTTAAATTATTATTATTAATAATTTTTATTTATTTATTATTATTAGTATTCATTTATTATTATTATTAATTTTTTATATTCTTGTTTTTATTTTACAAAACAATAAAGAACACGTGATGTTGTAGATAAATATTTTATAACAGAAGAATTTTTATCCGTATTTTGAAAATAAAAATAAAAAAAAAAAAAACTAAATAAGAATTTACGAAAGAAGGCGGAAGTAAACCACATCCGTTTATATTTTTTCTTACAAAATTTTCACCAAAAGAAACTGTATTCTGTACCAATATATAAAAATATTATACTATTGAAATAATAATAATAAGTACAATAATTAAATACATAAATATAAAGAAATAAAAATTTACAATTATAAAACTAATAACAAATTGTATAGATTATATTTTTAAATAAGAACCAAGATTACACACTAGAAACCCATTTTAGTGGACAAATTTTTTTTTTCGAAAACCACTAAATTGGAGTCCCAGTGTATTCTTTAATTTATAATAATAATTATTATTAATTTTAATTAATTATTAATTTATAATATAATAATAATAATTTTTTCTCGATAATAAAAAAAATCTATAAAATCAAAGGATTAATAGCTCGACTTAAGAATTAGTTATATATATATATATATATAACATTTTATTTTTTCCCGTCAATAAACTTTTTAATGTTTCCGCATACTAAAAGAAAATCATGTCAACTTGACTTATTTCTAACATTTTTTTTCTTCATTTTTTTTCCATGCTTATCACGTTAACCTTTCATGTTTAAAGTACTGTTAATTTATTGAATATTTTTTGCGACTGTTGAGTCGTTTTATATAATATTAATGGTATTCACAGACTATATATATATATATAATATAAAAATGCATTTAAAATCTGAAAACGATAAATTCTTTTCAAAATTTAAATACGTTTTGCATTGAATAGAATTTATCATTGAGAATTTTTTTTTGGAGAAATATTTTTCAAACCAAGTTTTATATCGAATTTCAAATATTCTTGAAGAATTTTTAGATTGTGCGAATCTGTGTTGAGTGTCAGAGGAGACGGTGCCAAAGAGAGAGAGAGAGAGAGAGAGAGAAGAGTGGGATGACGCATATATTTCACAGATCATTCAAGAGACTTGGTTTTAGCTTTCGTTAAAATTTTTTAAGGACACTCAACAATCTCAAAAAACTCTAACTATATACATATGATGCTATTTATTACTTTTAAAGTGACAAATTCGTATAACGTATATTTTAAATTTATATATTAAAATTTCACCGCATTTAATGAAATATTTAATTCTTTAAACAAATTGTACAATAAAGTTTCAGGCAATATTAAGGCAATCTTTGAAATATTAACTCAAAATGGAAAAAAATTAATTACCCAGCTAACAAAATTTTGCTACAGCAACTAAAATGTTTATTTCAAAATTTGTATACCTTTAGAAAATATTTATAGGAAATTTCTTATTTTGTATAAAACTAATATATAAAATAGATCTCTTTCCTATATTATAAAAAAAAGCCAAAGATTATTATTTTTTCTTATAAAATCATTACTTTCAGAGAAAATGATTTCAATATCAAAAAATATAGATATTTATATTTATATCTTTTTTACTCTCGTTCTGATTAACTTGTTTCCAATGGATTACTTAAACAGCTTTCAATGCCTATCGACCGGAATTTATAGACATTGCTGGAGTATAAATATTGGTTATATTGAGGACAATGTAGAGCCTTTAATTCAATTAGGTAACGCACTAGTTAAAGGTAAAAAGGTTTTATATAAGGAATAATAATTTATTCATTTATAAAAAAATATTTGACTGGAAAAATGATTTTTTTTATATCTTATTATATTCATAATTGTATCCTCGCATTCAAGCAGATATACAGGAATTTTCTATCCGTTTTGATGCACAATTTTAAAGCGTTTCAATTATTCTATTTCCGTTATCTGATCTATCCGCTTTAACTGTATATATATAATTTATTATTATTAATTTAATTATTAAAAGTCTCATACACCAGCAGAGAAAATTTTTATTCGTATACCAATAAATATACAAATGTATTCGAATTAAATTAAGATATGTTTGTTTCGGAGCTAAATAACTGTTTATTAAATTTATTTGTATAACAAATATATGTATTCATTAGCTTTAGGACAAATATATTTTTTCTCTAATTAACAAATCCAATATTGAATTTTTAAATTCGACTCGAAACAAAGAAAAAGTTAGTATATAGTATTTATTCAATTCTGATATATTCGATGTAATCCGTTAAATATTTCTTTCATACTTATTGATTCTTTTAGTCCAATAAATTATTCGTTATGTCCATGACTTATCCAATATATCTTTATGCATTATCATCATACATATCCTATCAATCCGTTTATATAAATTTAAGTCTAATCTTCTTGATAACTAATACCTTCTGTACCTAAATACTAAAATTCTGTATAACTCTAATAACTCCTTCTTTCATTGTAAATATAACTCTTAAGTCTTATTTTACTTTTACCCATTTCCTTCTTTATTAATAATTCTCCCTTCCTTAAACTACCCAAGTAGCGCACGGAATATTGCTTGAATGTCAAGGTGATATCAAGCGGGAATATTCCCTCAATATCATACGAATGTCACAAAAATATCACCGTGGAATGTCCCCGTAAAGCGGACATTATGATATCGTCTGAATGTCACAGGAATATTCCTACTTGATATCACCGTGACGTTCAACCAATTTTCCGTGCTACTTGGGTATTTTTTTCGTATCATGTAAAAAATTTGCTTTAACCCTTGGAGGGTAATTACAGCTCCGAGAGCAGTTAGAAACCAGGGAATTTATATGCTGCCCTTGTTGGCTTCGACTCACTAAGGATACAAGAAGCAAATTAGTAGATTAGCAGAATATATTTCAGCCAATAAAAATTAAGTCTCTAGCGGAAAACATCACTTACCGCAAGAGACTGTGTTCTGATTGATCAACGTATGATCCGCTAATCCACTAATCTACTCTGTGTGATACTGTACCCTTAAACCCCATTGATTCACCTTCGGAACTACAGTCGGGCTTTACATAGTAAATATCGGATTTCAGACGAACATAAAAAATATCCGAAGTTTGTGGGTTCTACTGTACTTTGCTGGTGAGGTCTTTTGTGACTCTTCTGTACTAATATTTCTTACAATCTGCGAACTTATGATCAGTTTCTTTGCACTTGAAACGAATTCAGGTAGATCTGGGTCCTCCGCTTTACAATCTTTTCGTATGAAGCCATATTTCAGGCACCAATAACACACTCTTCCTGATTGAACAAGACATAAAGCTTATTTTTATACGTTCCAATTTCTTCAACCTATCCACTTCTTCTTGATTAATGACTATACACACAGAAAATTAAAAGGTATTAAAATAAGCTGCAACGCTTATTATTTTAATCCAATTTTGCTTATTTTAATCCATTTTGGTATTAAAATAAGCAAAATTAAATTAAAATAATAAGCGTTGCAGCTTATTTTAATGCCTTTTCATTTTCTGTGCAACTATATACTGTGAGCGCGTTTAAACCGTCTGGCGTAAAGTAAAAAAAGCTTGACCTAAGCCGCTTAAACGCAGTTATTTACTTAAATTCGGGTTTACGCAGAACATTCGTATAAACAAAATCGTCAAGGAAAATACTTCTCCAGTTTTTCTTCTTCTTCTTCTTCTTTATGATGACAACGTGTGTACTTGATTAAAAAAAATAAAGTATACTACGTTTACTTTTTTTTTTCGCAAACTCGAATTTAAGTAAACCCAACTGCATATATATGCTGTCGGGACGCATGATTATGTTCTAAAAATCATTAGTCATAATTTACACTTTATCGAATTTTATTTGTCCTAATTAGCTTTAAGCCGAATTTTTATTTGTTCGAAATAGCATTTGGCATAATTTACATCAAAGCGATTTTCTATATTACAGAATTTTTATATAACCGAAAATTCACTTCACATAATTTTTATTTCTTCGAATTTTTATTTGCTCGAATTTTCATTTAACATAATCGGCATTTTAAAGAATTTTATTGGGTAGAATTTCATTGAACAGAATTTTCATTCAGATGAATTTTCATTTGATCGAATTATTATTTGATATAATTTCCATATAATCGATTTTTCATACTACAGAATTTTTACTTAACCGACAAATCATTTAATAGAATTTCTAATTGATAGAATTTTCAAATGGCCGAACAAACAATCGACAGAAAGATTTCGGCACAATTTTTATAATCAACCAATCAAAAATTATTCACAAAATTGTGATTGGTTGATTTTAAAAATCGCGCTGAAATCTTTCTGTCGATTATTTGTTCGGCCAGTTGAAAATTCGGACAAATGAAAATTCTATCAATTAGAAATTCTATTAAATGATTTGTCGGTTAAGTAAAAATTCTGTAGTATGAAAAATCGATTATATGGAAATTATATCAAATAATAATTCGATCAAATGAAAATTCATCTGAATGAAAATTCTGTTCAATGAAATTCTACCCAATAAAATTCTTTAAAATGCCTATTATGTTAAATGAAAATTCGAGCAAATAAAAATTCTGACAAATAAAAATGCTATTTCGAACAAATAAAAATTCGGCTCAAAGCTAATTAGGACAAATAAAATTCGATAAAATGTAAATTATGACTAATGATTTTTAGAACATAATCATGCGTCCCATGCTGTCCTATTCCGGTTTGACGGCACTTTAAAATGTCTCGATAAGTATTTCTATAATAATTTTATCTGTTCGTGGCGTATGCCCCCAAAGCACCGAAACTTTCCTAAAGATTTATTTGAAATGTTCGGAATATTTAATTGCAAAGTTTAGTGAAAATTATGTAAAAGATTTAAATATCCCGATTAAATAAATGTTTAGTGTGAAA